AGTCAGACAAGGTGATACGATTTCTCCCAAGCTGTTCACCACCGCACTCAACCACGCGATGCTGCAACTCGACTGGGACGATAAAGGCATCAACGTCGACGGAAAGAAGCTATCTAATCTACGATTCGCAGACGACATTGTCCTTATCAGTCAAAACTCAGCAGAGCTACAGCGGATGGTGGAGGAACTGAACAACGTCGGCAAAGCTATGGCCTCACGATGAACCGGAGCAAGACCGAGGTCATGCGCAATGAGTGGGCAGATGCGTCACCCATCACACTCGAAGGCACTGCTCTACCGGATACCGACCGTTACGTTTACCTTGGTCGACTCATCTCCATGGACAACAATTTGCGCGAAGAAATTATGAGACGCAAAAAATGCGCGTGGACGGCAATGGGACGCATAAGAGAGGCGGCCCAGCTCATTTCGGATAGGAAAATACGAGCTGCTCTGTTCGACTCTACAGTACTGCCTGCACTTTGTTACGCATCCGAGACGTGGGCAGAGAACAAGGCGTCCACGCTGATGTTGACACGTGCCCAACGAGCATTGGAACGGACCCTGCTGAATATCAACCGCCGTGAGCAGAGATGTCGCAATCTGCGCAGTACAGACATGCGCTCAATGTCGGGCATCCTTGATGCCGTAGTATACGCGTGGAATGCAAAGAAGAGATGGGCCGGACATGTGGTCAGACGTACGGACGATCGGTGGACCACTCGCATCACACTCTGGTATCCGAGAGACGCGAAGCGCAAGGCTGGCCGCCCTGCAACCCGTTGGAGAGACTCCTTGAAGCAACTCCAAGAATTTTGCAGACCAACACTGGGTCCAAACCGCTCAAGATCGCAAACAATGGAGGGAAGCGTGTGCTCGTCGCTGAAGAGAACCGGCTGAAGAACGAGCGTCCAAGTATCCAAGTAAGTAAGTATTGTGTGGATGTTCAGTTTATTTTTCTTGAACAGGTACACTTACTTCTCATCTCCGTGTATTTATCTTTTTCAGGCTACACGACGAATTCTTCGGCACGATGGACGAAGATGGAGGCAAAAAGCAGAAACGGAGAAGACGCAACATCAAGATTGAGAATCAGTGGAAAAGTTTTTCATTCGAAGCTATTCAGAGGCAACGAATTGCAACATCAACATTTTCCTTCGAAAAAGTCGAAAAAGGTCACTCAAGGGTGGGACGAAACATTATTGGTAGGTGACAGGATGTGATATCAGCTGATAAGATCTGATAATGGGCATTAGAAGGGAAGGACTACCAAATTCATAGTGCGGCTCACAGGAACAGTGGGTCCTTGGATCCGAGAGGTGATATAGGGTGTGGGACGGGAACATTATTGGCGGGTGACAGAAAGTGATAACAGTTGATAAGATACGATAAGCGGCCTCGGAAGGGGAGGGTCATCAAATTCGTAACGCAGGTTACAGCAACAGTGGGACCTCGGATCCGAGAGGCGATATAGGGTGATATGATAGTGATACGGACCGGAATATATTCGGTGTGGTAAGGGAACGTGATAGTGAGCTAAAAAGTAAAGTGCCAAGTAACATGGGAATAAATCCGCGTTCACTGCTCACAAAGAGCAAGAAATGTCTCAATGCACTCAATTATAACGATCTCAGTGATTCCAACAGAACCCATTCTTCACTGCTTATTAGTAACGACATCATGTAGACCGCTAAAATAGCTGTATTCCAAAATGCATGGGGTATGTTTACAGAGATGTTCATAAGACGCAATTGACTTGATTACAATTACCACAATTATCTTCCATCAACAATCTTGGTGGAGGCCATTTGAAGGATTCCACTGCTGAATGCGGGAGTGCATACCAAAGCAAGACGCCCCTTGAAGAAGGAATTAAGCATCCCTAAACTGGCTATAATCGCTAATGTTGTGTGTGTGTGTGTGTGTGTGTGTGTGTGTGTGTGTGTGTGTGTGTGTGTGTGTGTGTGTGTGTGTGTGTGTGTGTGTGTGTCCTGTCTGTCTGTCACGAAATTCATAGCGAGCGTCCCAGTTAAGCCTATAACAAAGTATGAACTTGAGCCGATGTAGCAGCTGTAACGGAACATATTGGTGGGTGACACGACGCGGGTAATTAATCATGCTGATAAATCCGATCAGGAAGCGCGGTCCCTGAGGGTAAAGGCTCAACGAGTCCATCCAGTGCGCGGGGCATAGCAACAGTGGGACGTTGGTTCCAAGGTATGGTGTAGGGTGTGGGACAGGAACATTACTGATGGGTGACAGCGAGCGATATCAGCTGAAGATTTGATAAGGGGAGTTAGAACGGTAAGGTCACCATACTCATAACGTAGGACACAGCATCAGCTAGGCGTTGTTTTCAGAAAATGATGTAGAGTGGGAGATGGGGACGT